AAATTAAAAAAAAAAAAAAAGACTTCTGTGGAACTTGAGGGGCAATTTCAGTTACGTGTAAGGAGCTGACTGGGGTCTCCTGTGTGTGCGAGAAAGGTGTGAGGAACTTGTATCCAGGGCCGGAGTGGGAGAGAAGGGGGAAGCGGTCCTTGGGAAGATGAGCTGTTGTTTTAAAGGCTTCCGCCTTGTTAGGGCCAGAACCTGTCATTCATTCGGCATTGCGAACTGTGCCGCTACAAATGCAGATGTGTGCGCATATTATGGGGGTGTGATGCTTTAATTCTTTTGGAAAGATACCAAGCGGGGGGGGGGGGGATAGCTGGGTCAAGCAGGACCTCTAGTCCTAGTTTTTGAGGAATCCCCACACTGATTTACATAATGGTTGCACCAGTCTGCATTCAGCAGCACTGGAAAAGGGTTCCTTTTGCCCCACAGCCCTACCTACCCGCATTTGTTATTCGTTGATTTCTTTTCTTTTTGGTTGTTTTCTTGATAGGCATTCTTTCTGCAGTGACACGGAATCACAGTGTTGTTTTAATTTGCATCTGTCGAATGACCAGTGATGTTAAAATTTTTTTCATATATGTATTTGCTGTTTCTACTTATTCATCTGAGTAGTATCTATTTCAAATGCCTGTTTTTGGACTCGGTCTTAAATTTGGGGGAGTTGATTTTTTTTTTTTTTCAGTTGTCTGTATGTTCTAGATGCTAACCCTTTGAGGAACAGCCTACAAACATTTTTTTCCACACTGTGGGTTATCTGTTAACTCTGAGTGGTTTCTCTTGCTGTGCGAAAGCTTTTTAATAAGATGAGATCCCAAGTTTTTTATTCTTTGTGATATTTCCTGTGTGGTCCGGGTTTCTTTTTATTTATTTATTTTTTCTGTATTTAGGACAGGGTCTGTAGGGTCTCACGACATAGATCGGACTTGTCGTGGTCCTCCTGTTTTCGGCCTCCCAAGCACTGGGATTACAGGCGCACACCACCACGCCCAGTCTCAATCACCGTCTCAGCACGCCCCGGGTGCTGGATGGAACCCCAGCCGCTGCCCTCTGCCTAAGCAGGCACTTTAGTCTGCTGAGCTATCTGGCTGGCCCTAGTATTTTTGTTTTAGTATTTAAATCTTTGATCCATTTCAACTTTAGCTTAGTGCGTGGTAGGGACAGGGGTCTAGTTTTATTCTTCAGCATGTGGAAAGCCAGTTTTTCCTGTGCCACTTATTAAAAGGCTTTCTTCCAGTGAACACGTTTGGCCCCTTTATCAAAGATAAGATAGCTGAGTGTGTTTGTAGTTGTATCTACATCCTTTAATCTGTTCCAGTGATCCTCACGTCTTTTTTTTTTTTTTTTTTTTTTTTTTT